GGGGCATTCATGTGATGCCTATTTATTAGCTTAATTGATATTTTTGTAGAATTTAGAGATTAAAAATGCCAAAGATCGTCTTGTGACCTGGTTATATGTTTTTCCTGTGCTCAAAACGAACGTGATGAATGCATACTGTTTTCCAAAAGACTGTAACTCTACAGAACTTATGAGATAACAATAATAACAATATTCTTGAATAAATTCTGTCAGCTTTTATTTGGTACAACACTGCACTCACTTATCTTTCTTTCCTACTTCACTTCCAACTCCAAATCCCAACACAAATTCCCACTTGATTTTATGTTAAGTCAAGAGACTACAGGTAGACTATATAAAATGATTTCCATTGAAACCTGCTATAGTTCATCATGAACTGACCAGATAAAGATCCCGACATTAGACAGTCCAGTCAGAAATCAATTCATATGGATTGTTTAAGATTTTTTCAAATAGCTCAGAAAATTTCTGGTAAGACTGCGGATTACAGACTAACTTGGATTTGAACTATCACAATTTCTTTGAATACTCTTTTTATCTGAGCTCGGGCAGTAATCCTTACCTTAAAAACTAAGAGTTCATTTGTTCTGGTTTCTGTAAGATGATCAAGCAAATCCATCAGCTTATTTCCTGCAATGTCGATAAGCAACACTGGCCCTGATTGAAGCTTGACGTTCTTTGTCAAAAAACAGTGCAAGGGAAAGTTGCGGTACAAGGACTGCTGAAGATCTTCATCACTGTCAATCTCACAATTTAGTACTTCATCCATCAAACACAGATGCTCTCCTGATATCCTAGCAGGGAAATACCCTGCAAGAAGAAAAAATTGCCTCACTTAAATTCATTTGACATCAGTTTTGGAGGTTAATTTTTAATTAATGTCACGAGTTACAATACACTAATCATGACCCTCATTTTACATTTTCATGCAATGTGAAGAAACACATAACAACCTCTTAGCTATAAACAAATCTCTTAATCATCACTGTTATCATATATCAATAATCTATATACTCAGAAGCAATGCAACTGAACTGATAACAAACCCTTTTCTTTAACTTGTTCAGCTATATAATCTTTGAAGGCTGACAGCTCATCACCATCTCCTTGAGGTTCATCTTTCAGTTTCAAGACCAAATTTCCTTTGGGAGTAAAAACTAATGCCTTCTGGTTCAAGTCCTCCTTGTTGTAATAAGCAATTTTCATAGGGCGTCTATGATGGGAATATATTTCTGGTTGTTGGATACCATGATTTAAATTATGTAATTCCCTTTTGACATGCTCATACACATAACTTTGTAGGATTTCAAAAGAGATGTACCCTTTTACTGATGCTTCTTTTTGCATCGTTTCACACAAGCTACATGTGTTATTACTATCCTGAAGGCCACATTCTTGACCACTTTTCAGTCCATTCACCATGTGTTTTGTGAAGATACTTAGTCCATCACAGATCATTGCACGAGATGTCTGATGCTCTGCACAGGACCACCATTGGTAAGAACAACGGTTGTCAGAATCAGAAGGTTCGCCTTTTACAATATATCTATGATGAGGATTGATGGCTGCACCATTACTAGGGGATGCACTATCTGAATCAGCTTCTAAATTCTTGGCTTCCAGTGGCAACTCTGTAGTGGCTTTAGCATCTCCAGCAGCATTTATGGGACCAATATGACAGCTCTCTGGACTTGACTGCACATCTGGGAGTCCCATATCGATGACACTCATTTTATAATCCACTTTGCCGTCTGCCTCTAGACTATCACTTTGGCTGACGTCTGTTATGGTCTGAGCAGAACCCATTGTTCCCTTTTCAATATCCCTATTAGAAGCTGCAAAACAGCAATCCAATATAACCAGTTTCTCTGAAGCAGACACGCCCCCTAGCATAGTCTGAAGTTCACTCTTAGTAATATCAAAAGCCTTTTTTCCTGGTAGCGGTTGTAAACCACTTTGAGTGCCATGTCCTGAATAATAGAACACAAATGTGATTTCTGGAAGCCCTGACGTTTTATCCTTTATTGTATTTAGATGTTCTTCTATTTCCTGCTTTACCTTTTTACCGTCTTTGTCACACAAAACTGTATACACTTGGTTCTCCCTGTTGAAAAAGAAATTTTAAACATAGTCAACTAGAAAGTAAAAATGTACACGTGAGATATGCTATCAATAGTTGATCAAGTAGCAATCAACCTACATATATTTTGTCATTAATATCTTAAAACTTTTTTATAAAAACAGTTGATTATTATGAAATAATTCAGAAAAGCCGGAAAACAAAGCACAGCCAGATACTTAGTAGTACACGTATTTAAGGATTGAAAAACCTGCAAATTCAAACAATGAACTTGTCTTTCACATGAGAATATATCAAATCTCTACCCTTAATAAAAATAATAAACAAGGCAGCAAAGCTGTCAAATGTACAGACAAAAAACAGAAAATAAAGATGCAAAAAAGGTCATTTTGTCAATTTTGATGCATTAATAAATAATGCTTATAATAGCACTGCCAGTCAACACTGAATTTTAATCATGCACAACAGGTAACATGGTCAATAACAGGAGCGGACCCTGAGATATTTTCTGACAGTATTCCAAAGTATCTATGTTGATCCATCCTCCACTTTGATGGTCTTCCAACAGAAAAAAATAGATACCAGTCAATATAAACTTAATAACTTGACTGTCTTCCGGAAGACCCAGAAGATGGTCTCAATCCACCCCTTCAATAAGATTACAGTTTCATGTCCATGAGAGACCAAAGTCGCACGATGAAAGTCTCAATATTTGAAAAATGATGACAGTGCATAAAATAATATTACATAATGTTTAAAGACATAAAAACATTACAACTGCTTCTGTGGAAATACGGAAAATTTTGCAGAGCCTCGAGCGGATTTGAGTTAAAAGTCACAAATGCAAGTGTTTGAGAAAAAATTATAAAGGAAAACATAACAAAACTAGAACAGCACTCCGAGAGTGCAGACCTCTGCCAAGGCAGCAATTGTTGATTATTATTGATTGATAATTGAGCCAGACCACCACCAAAAATTAATCATTGGCCCACTTCTGACAGTTCCTTTTTGAGTAATGTTGATGACAGACAAACAGGGGTGAAAATATAACCTCCTTTGCAGAGCCTGAGGTAAATATAATTCCAATGATGCTGCTATTCAAACTTTTCATCTTTGTGTTTGATATATATATATATATATATATATATATATATATATATA